AAGAGACACCTTATAGGCTGACCTACGGAACTGACGCAATGATCCCAGTGGAAGTCGGAGAGACATCCCACCGACGCCAAGTTTTCAATAGCGAGCAAAACACTCAAGAGATAGCAGCCGACCTCGACTTGGTTGACGAGCTTAGAGACGAAGCTCAAATCCACGAAGAAGCCTGCAAACTCCGAGCTTCCCGAAGATACAACACCTGGGTGCGACCTCGCTCTTTCCGAGTTGGCGACTTGGTATGGCGATTGCTAGGTGAAGCACGGAAAGACACGTCAGATGGGAAGCTTGCACCCACTTGGGGTGGCCCATTCCGAGTTACAGAAGACTTGGAAAATGGAGCGTACCGACTAGAAGAGCTCAGCGGAAAACCTATACCGCGAACTTGGAATGCTACGCATCTCAAGTTCTATTTCAGCTAAATTTGTACGAATGAGTTGTGCACTCTTTTCCCGCCTCAGTCTTTTATCCCAAAAAATAGAAAAATGGGTTTTGGCTGAGAGGGTTTTTAACGAGGCACACTTACACAATCAATAAAATGACTCATTCTGTTCAACTCATATTTTCTTAGTTCCGCATCATTTTATGTTTTATGCTAAATAGAGGTCGAGTTCGAACCAACTTATTTCGCTCTCATTCAAGGTCGAGTTCGAACCTTCGTACAATTCACTATGCTAAAATCCGAGGTCGAATTCGAACCCCGGCATGATTAATTCAAGGTCGAGTTCGAACCTTCACAAAGAGTTACTTAATGAAAATCCGAGGTCGAATTCAAACCCCGGCATGATTAATTCAAGGTCGAGTTCGAACCTTCACAAAGAGTTACTTAACGAAAATTCGAGGTTGAATTCGAACCTGGCATGATTAATTCAAGGTCGAGTTCGAACCTTCACAAAGAGTTATTTAACGAAAATCCGAGGACAAATTCGAACCCCGGCGTGATTAATTCAAGGTCGAGTTCGAACCTTCACGAAAATCCAAGGTTGAATTCGAACCCCGGCCTAATTAACTTAAGGTCGAGTTCGAATCTTCATGAGAGTTACTTAGCAAAAATCTGAGGTCAAGCTCGAACCTCGGCATGATCAACTCAAGGTCAAGTTTGAACCGTGGCGCAATCCACTCTGCCCTGAAACTCAGTCTAAGTATCACAAAGTATAAAAGTACACAACAGACATTGAACGTGTGTCTCAAAACGCGCAAACAGGAAAAAATCAAGCCCAAACGCAAAGGCAAAGAAAAGCGCAATGGAAAATAGACAAAAAATACATATATACACAGCGATGTTTTCAAAGTTCCACACTTGAATTCAACAAAAAAAAATAAAATAGAGAAGATTAAACTAGGCTATTACACATTTAGCCTACGCAGAGGCATTCTCGCTGGAGTTGTCCTCGACGTCATCCTCCTTTACCAGCTTGCCGAAGCGAACAACCTTCTCCACGTGCATGGCAGAGAAGTCGAACCCCGGGGTAAGAAGCCTCGCCTGGCGAGCTGCCTTGAGAAAACCCGCTTATGCTCAAACAAGACAGACTGCTCGGTTTCCTCCAGCTTCTTCACCAGCACTGCCCTTTCCGCCTCCAGATTCGCCACCTCCACTCTTAGAGAGGTGACCTCCTCCTCTTTGCCACCGAGGACGACCTCGTCACAGAGGCACTTCTCAACCGCCGCCACCAACTCGCTCTTCAGGGATGTCACTTCATCCTCCAAGGAGCGAACCCGACCACGGGAAGACGTCACCTCATCTTCCAAGAAGCGTATCCGACCTCAAGACGATGCGGCGACCCCCTGCAGCTCGTTTACCTGGGAGGCGTAACTCTCGTTGGAGCGCAGGGCGATCTCCAGAGACTTCTGGACCCTCGCAAGGTCGCCCCTCGCAGCTCGAAGCTCGGCACCCTGAATTTTTGCTTCACCAAGGGCGGCGCTCAAAACCTTGTTCTGCTCCTTTAGGGCCCTGTTCTCCTCCCTCAAAGGTTGGACTCGGCTCCTCAGCCTAACCAGGTCCTCCTGCTGATTGGACCACTTATGCTTCCAGTGGTCCACAATCGCCATAGTCCTCTATAGAAAGACCTAGGCGGCGTCAAGGCCTTCCACGGGCCCGACCTCGTCTATCAGCCCCTGGTCGTCCGAGCTCAGCGAACCTTGGGGGAAGAACTTCTCGGTAGTCACTCCCGCGCTCCACAGCGAGTCCATGTCAGCTGAAGCACTCACATGGTCCAATCGCACCTGCGAGCGGCCCTTCCCGAAGCGGTGAGCTAAATATTGGCTCTGGGAAGCCCCCTACGATGAACCAGACGGCGACGCTGAAGCTGCAGGCGTAGCTGTGGGGACCTCGAAGTTCGGCCCTTTGCCGCGAGCCTCGACAGAGGCAGAAACAGGCATCCCCTGCTCGGCAATAGGAGGATCCATGCCTGGTGCCTCCGGCCTCGGGGGCACCTGAGTCTCGACGACGTCCCCTGCCTGCAAAAAACGGCCCCATGTCAAAAGACAAAAGAACAACATACAAGATAGAAGGAAAAACGAAAAGCGAGGTACTCACCACGGCGGCCTAGGCGACTTGCTTAGCGACCTGGGCCCCCACCTCGGCAGCTATCCTTGCCTGTAAAAAGCGATAGCGCCTCAATAAACCAAGAAAAGCCAACATAGAAGAAAAGTTAAAGAAAATAGGACACTCACCTCGGCAGTGGGAGCAACTTGCTTAGCAGTCTCCGCAACAGCCATTTGGGGAGCCTCCCCAGGTGGAGGACTCCCAGTAAGGTTGACTGCGTCGGCATCAGCAGCCTTGGAGGTCACATCCTCTGTGCTACGAGGAGCAGAGGTCCCCCCGACCTCTTTCTCGCCCCTCTTTCTTTTTTGGTTGACCTTCAGGGGCGAAACCTCCTCCTCTTGAGGCTCGGGGACCTCGATCTCAGCGACATTGTAGCGGTGCTTCAGCTCACGCCACTTGTTCCTGCCCATTATGCCTGCAAACATAGAAAATAAAACACATCAGCAAAAGAAGATTTCACAAACCCTAACAATCTAAAGAAGACGAGATACTCACTCTCCAGGCCCCTCTCCTTGTACGTTGAATTCGCAAGCAACAAGACGAGCTTGCAATCCAGGGGGCGAGGAAGCGCGGCAAGGTTTTCAACGGCGGTCGCCTCCGAAGCCGTCAATTTCAATTGGCCCACCCCATGAAACCTAGACGGTTTGGGGCACCAATAGAAGGGGAACCTCGGCAACCCGCCGAAGTAGAACGCCCCATCCTCCAACGGGTCGACATCCACAAGGGCAACCCGAAAAAACTCTTGTTTGAGATTTTTGTATGACTGGGAGTAAAGAGTGAATAAACCCCCACCCCTACTCCCACTCAGAGACAATATGCCATAAGGCGGAACGCCTATCTTTAGCTGGTAAAAATGAAGAAAGACGGGAAGAGACACCTCTATCCCTAGAGCTGAACACAGGACTTGAAAAAGCCCTCAAAAAACCCCAACTATTTGGGTGCAACTGGCAAGGAGCCGAGTTGATAAAATTCAAAAAATCACACTCGAATTGAGTGGAAGGAAGGTAGACGCCTAAATCCCTAAAGAAACACAGGAAGACATAGAAATGGGGAGGGTCTGTAGACTTCCCCATGTACACACTCTCACCGGCCTGACAGGGTTCAAGACGGATCATTCGGGAAAGAGAAGGGTCACAAATTCTGTGTGATTTCCAAACCGCATTAACCTCAAGAAAAGACCGGAACACACTCTGGGTTCCCCCCATCTCGCGCCGAACCCAATCGTAACCAGGAATGCCTGGAACGAGATCCTTGGGCGGGTTCACCACATTCTTCTTCTCGGCGGCGGCTGTTCCGGTAGCCACCGCTTTGCCCCGTGCCTTACCCTTGCCCTTGGCAGGTGCGAAAGATCCAGCACCACCCTTTCCAGCCATCAAGAAAGCAAAAAGACTCGAAGAAGGATAAGATTGGAGAAGGGAGAGAGAACAGAGAAATAGAAGTTCCTGGTACTCCTTTGACAAAAGAAAGAGCAATAAGGAAGGAGCGAAACCCAGTTGCTGGGAACGGCGACGAAAACAGAGAAGACAGAGGCGAGAGACAAACAAAAGCGAGAGAAGTAGCGTACGCAAGAAGTTGAAAGAGCGAAAAATGAGTAAAGTGAAATGGGAAGAGGCGCAAGTGAGAGAAAAGGGTTTTTCCCAAATTCAAAACGGTCCTGACACGTGTCAGTCAAAGGGCATATCTGACGACACATTAGTTGAGAACCATTATGACGAATGCAAACCATCATTACATACCCGTCACTCCCATTAACGCGCCACTTGCACGTTTTCGGGAAATGACCAGTTGTGACACATGGCATCTTGATAAGCAGGCGTGCGCGAAGGGTCACAACCACTTGACGAGCTCGGTCTTAACTCCTCGACCCACGGTCTTCGGAGCTCGGGGGGCTAGTGTACTATCCGTACCGCTATGTCGAGCTCGAGCTCGGCATCACAGCATAGAATGACCTCGGAACACGCATCTGGAGATCTCGGTCTAGACGAGATCCGCAATCCAATCAGATCATAACTGATCTCAGGAGATCTCGGTGCAGACGAGATCTGCTATCTAATTAGATCATAACTGATCTCAGGCCCAAGGCCCAACGCAACCCTAATTCACACTAAGGTACGTGCATTACTTATACGAGACATATACTCATACAAACCCTAACTTTAGCATCAGAGTCTCTTTTGCAGGTACCACCCTCATCTTGGAACATCAAGCGTACCAGCGAAGGAGGCTCACCGACCTTACCCAATGGATCAACTCTACCTCAGATCCCCGGTAAGAACAATTTGTTTCCATGCCTCCAACATGTAATAGATAATCTTTTAAATTCTAAGATTGTAGATTATAAGTTTAATACTCAACCATACAAATCAACTTATAAAATAAGTGTTGTCCCAACTTATATACTCTTTAATTGCTTCATTTTCACTCGATATGAGACTTGAAATTTTTTTAAAATATTAAACTTATAAATTTAAATATTTTTTTATTTTTCCTGCGGATTAAAATTTTGTAGGAAAATCTGCAGGAAAAGTTACCTGCAAAATTTTTCTACCAATTTAGTAAACATTACTTGCGAATTTATTTTTGCAAGAAAATCTGCAAGAAACAAAATAAAATTCTTGCAATATTTTCTGTAAATTATTTTTTGCAAATAAATTCGCAAAAAATTTCTGTGAATATTTTTTTGTAGGAAAATTTGTAAAAAAATTTGCGAATATTTTTTTGTAGGAAAATTCGTAAAAAATTTCTGCGAATATTTTTTTACAAGAAAATTCGCAAAAAATTTCTGCGAATATTTTTCTGCAGGAAAATTCGTAAGAAAATGACATTTTTCTAGTAGTGATAATCGTTATTTACCGGAAAGATATGCTCTAAATTGAACATTTTATCTTTATAACTTCTAATACAAGCAAGATATTGGAGTAAAGAAGTGAAAAATAAGATGAAAGATATGATAAAACAAAATATTGTAGAAATATGTATGAATAAAATAACACTTAATTAACAAATGTTCAGCTTAAGAAAATCTTGATTACCTTCCAATATAGAGAGAGTCCCCAAGAAAAGTAATTCCCAAGATGACTGCAAAGAGTATTGTAAGTGGAGTAAACATTGCAACAAAAACAGGGCCTTTCTTTCCTATGGTCCAGGTAGCGATGACACTTCCAAAGGATAAGACGAAAATTGCCTACATTAAGAAGATCAAGTTAATTCCAAGTGGGAAATAGAAGAATGATGATGACTAAAAAGAGTAGAAATAATAACTTAGTACAGATATTTTAATAATTAAGAAATTTTTTGAGTGATAATAAAAATAAAATTATAAAGACTTAAGTTCAAAACAAATAATATTTCATTATTATAGAATTATATTTAAAATAACTTTATAAAAATAGCAAAGTTATAATTTTTGTAAAACATCCTATCAGATAAGTATTATACAATGACACAATCTGATAGAGGAAATAACATATTCTTTTATTCTTACAGAAAGTCCAATGGCTATCAACTCCATATTAAATTCCAGTCTCAATGCTTTAAGATCCTTTACTGAAAGCATCGCAGCAGGAACAGATAGTATAGAGGCTAATGCAGTGCGAATGAGCATCACCACCAACTCTGAAGGGTATTCTCTGACTATCCGTGTCTAGAAATGTGCGGAAAGCAAAAGTAAAATCAGTATCTGAGCCATGCTTGTCATTGAAAATAGGCTAAAATATGTGTCAGATTTTCATTGATTACCAAAACTATAAAGTTAATTGAGAGACAAAAGCTATGAGCCGCAAGCAACACTGCCCCAAATACCCAGTCAAATTCCATAGACGAGGCAAGTTTTCGAGGGAACAATTTAAGAGAGGGATCATTATTTATCACTGCCTGCCCTTTGTACACCGACATTATCAAGGCCCCAGAGATTGTTACCAATGTGCCAATAGACTTTGCCCAACTGCTATTAGTTTTCCAATCCAATTTTTCCATCCTGTAAGGTTAATTACTGAAATAAGTTTAAGTATTAACAAAGAAAATTCGACCAAACCTACCATATTCATAAGCTATTCAAAACTAGTATTTCTGAAAATATCTAGTGTTTCCAAAGTAAGAAAATTACTTTGGACTTTGGAGAATAAATTAAAGTAAGTAATATAATGTCGAAAAGATCTACATGCTTAATAATATATTGGGTAATTTATTACACTTACCTCATCTAATTAAGTTATTAGAAAGTAGTGAAGCAAGAACCTGAAGATGATGGCGAGTATGAAGGTAAAGGCCGGGATCAAATCAGACATTGCTGAGGACAAAGTAGGAGAGCTGTAATCTATGCCAAAAAACTTGAGCATCTGGTTACTGCAACTGCAAGAAGCAAGAAGCAAGAAATTAATAAGTCCCTCATGAACAGAGATTGAAAGTGAAGTAAATAAGTACCTGAGGAAGCCAACAACAAATAACAGGCCAATGATTTTATAGGAGAGTGGAGGAAGTGTTCTTTTCCTGCACAAGCAAAATAAGAAAGAGAAGCCAACACATAGGTTCATCTTCATCATTAACATAACTATTTAGAATTGATTAGGATATAGATTATATGCGTGAGCTTAGTCCATATACCTATAAAAGATTAAAGTTATGAGAAAGAGAAAGCATGTTCCGAAGGCATTGGAGTACATGACAAACACAAAGTCATTCATGCCCTTCTTCATGGCTGCTTTGCTTATAGTGTTGGCAATCACGTCCATCAACTCTACCGCCAACATCACTGCAACAAAGCCCAGGTCCTTCATTCTTCTGTTTCCGGTGATCACAATTCGCTACGCAGAAGAAGATGCTTGGTACTGAAAGAGCAGGATTTGGTCCGTCCGTTTGGTAAAGTGTAGAGTGAGTGGATATTAGCAAGTGTTTCTTAATGAGACAATGATGAATACAAAGCTAGATATTGCCATGCGCGGAGTCCCATAAATCTATAAGATATAATTTTAAAATATTAAAAGTATTTTAAAAATTATTGCATGAAATTATAAAATTAAATAATTATAAAATATTCATCGAAATAAGAGGAGGATAAGCTTTGAATGTAAAATGAATATGATATAATTAGGTTTATTTTAAAAGATGAAACATATAATAATGATTAAATTTTTATATTAGAGTGATATTATTTTATTATACAATAAACACTACACCAAAATTAGATTTTTGTGACAATTAATTTATTCTATAGCGACCATGTAAATGGTCATTATTTTTTTTACCAGCATTTAGATAATGGTTGGTGTATCCAGTGTCGCTAATATTATTACCAGCATTTATATAAAATGCTGGTAAAGACCTACTAAATTGTCGGGAAAACTTATTTTTTTTAGTGGCAATTTTAGTAGCCATTTTAAAGGCTATTAAAAGTTATTTTTTCAATTGTCTCCTTTCCACCCATTTAGTGACTTTTATCTTTTGCTAGTAAAACTTTAAATAATTTATTCCTATAATTTTATTTTCTAAATTCATAACTTATATACTCTTTTTTATTATCTCTAGTCGATGTGAGATTTGTAAGATGAGGGTTGTCTTCTATTTATATATTTTTTAATTGTCTTATCTCTTAAGAGATGTGAGATTTATAAGGTGAAAGTTGCTCTCTAATTGTTTTATAGCACTATTGAACTTGGTAATAGTGGGTGATTTGATATTAATTTATTATAGTGAATTAAGAGTCTAACTCAACCCTATAAATCAACTTACAAGGTGATAGTTATTACTCACTTATATACTATTTAATTATCTTATCTCTAATCGATGTGGGACTAATTTTTTTTCAATAAATAATTGTCACTAATAGTAAACTTTAATGTAATATAAATACACTTTTAGTGGCTATTATATATTAGCCATTAATATTTTTATTATATAATTAAATAGCGGCAATTAAATTATTGCCATTAAACAATTGTCGTTAAAAATAATTTTTGTTGTAGTGAAATGAATTCAATTGTGACGAAACTTGTTCTTTTATCATCGGTATAAATGTCATAAAATTTTACTGATATTTTTAAGTTGTGTAAATTACTTTGTGTAACAGCCTAATTTTGACTGGGCAAGAGTCCAATTAAGGTGGTTTAGTAGCCCGGAATGGGACGTTCCAAAATTGGAACGGGCTGTTCCAAACCATAAAATTTGTCTATGATTCTTAGCTGGAACGGGTCGTTCCCAGCTGGAACGGGCCGTTCCCAGCTGGAACGGGCCGTTCCGGATTTCAGAAATGGCCTTTGAACCTTATTTGAGAACGGGCCATTCCGATTTTGGAACGGACCGTTCCGATTTTGGAACGGACCGTTCCAAAATATGACCGTTGAGAGTTTTAATGCAAACCCAAGAACGGGCCGTTCTGGTTTGAGAACGGGTCGTTCTGATTTGAGAACGGGTCGTTCTGGATGTGAATTTTACACATGACCTGAGATTTCAGAACGGGCCGTTCCGGATTTGAAACGGGTGTTAAGTCTCAATTTTACCTCTTTTTGGATGAGACTTATTGAACAAATTCCACTCATCCTTTGAACCATTGCAATATAATTGTTCTCTTTTTGGTTCATTTTGTGTGCAGATATAACTAACCCAAATTCATCTAACAATACCTTAATCCACCTCATTTTTTGTGCAGGTATTGAGGAAGAGTGGAAAGTTGAAGACTCTTAGGATTGGAAACCTAAGAAGCTAAGGAGCAGAGAAGAGGTTCTGCGCCGGGCGCAAGGTGATCCGCGCCAGGCGAGCAAAACAGAGTATCTCACCTCTGGGAGCCATTGCGCCGGGCGTAATGTGAATTGCGCCGGGCTTGTCCTAAGGCAGAGAGTATCTGGAAGGCCCCGCGCCGGGCGCGAAGACTTATGCGCCGGGCGCGAAACCCTAATCTGACTCCCCAAGCTCGTATTTGAAGCCATTTTCGGGGGAGAAACCCCCATTCTCACATTGGGCGCCTCCAAGAGCTGCGGAAGGGATTCCCAGGGCTTGGGATCGTCCGTGTGCGGATCTTTCCTTCGGTTCTTCACTTCCTCTTCCATCTCTATTTTGTATTTGCCCTCTTTGTTGAGTGGTTTCACCCATTTTGTGGGGTTAGATGTAACCAACGTACTCTATTGTAATCTTTACGGTTTTAATGATATATATACATGTTGTTTTATTCTTTGTTGTGTTTGTTTCTATTCTTAATGCTTGCTTTGGATTGATCACCCTTTGCATGATTTAAGGTTCCATGGGTATTGGAAAATAACCTTTGAAACTAGTTCTGAAACATATGCCTAGTGGTGATTGTATCTAGGGATAGAGCTTGACCCATTAGTAGTCTTAAACCCTAGCCCGTAATGCGGGTGTAGATATTGGGTACTCAAGGGATTGATATTCAATATCCGCACCTAGGCTCTTTCTCTAAGGGATTAGGTTTGAGTAAACTATTGGGTTGACTAAGCAATGAATTTAACAAGAGATTAAGGATACATTAGTGTTACGTTTGGTGAAATCTGACCCCCACAACCTCACAATACCATTATCCCATTTCTACCCTTTCCCATTCTAAAACTAATCTTTTTATAGTTTTAACATTCCAATAGTCATGCTCTTCATCTCACATTTACATGACAAACTTGAAATTGGAATTATTCTTTAGTCACGAATAGTCAATAAATGCTTATATTACCTTCTAATCCCTGTGGATACGATATTTTTACTACTTGAACGGCCGGTATACTTGCCGTGTTTGAGACCGTTGATAGAATTAAACTGATTTACAATTATAACAAAAGTACTTCAACGGAAATCTCAACAACGGGCCGTTCCAAGAATCCTAATGCCTATAAATTGAGTGCTCTGGCACTCCTAAAATTATATTTTTCAGTTCTGACTTCTTTCAGTTCTGACTTCTTTCTTCTACATTTTTTTTCTTTCCCTTCTACACTCTCTGAAGATTGAGGGGCACTCAGAGGAGGAGACCAAGAGATGTCTATTTTGGTTTCAACTGCTGTTTATCCAGATTGAGGGGCACTTAGAGGAGGAGACTAAGAGATCTCTGTTTTGGTTTCAACTGTTGTTTATCCAGGTACGGGGGAAAAGGGAATTATTTATATGTAGAGTTACATGAGGGAATTGGGTAGAGGAAGAGCCCTTAAGATTATGAGTAATTTTATAATTATTTCTGTTTGGAGAATTATTGGTTTTATGTGATTTTGTATGAATTTAGGATTATGAATATATATTTTATTTGTAAAAATGATGCTCTAGGAGAGAGAACGAAATTATAGAAAAGTGTCTGTGAGCTAGGTTTTGGAATAATTGGGGGTTTTACCGTTTATGTTAAAATTATATTAAATTGATAATTCTATTGATTATTTTATTAATTTATGAATGTTATTGTTATATTAATTGATAAGAATTGATGATCTAGATGTGAATTGCTTGAGGGGTGTGTAAACCCTTATTTTGTTCGACTTATCTATTGTGTATGTAATATGGAATTGAGATATGAGATGAGATGTTGTGTGGATATGATTATGATTGTGATTGTGGTTCCTCACACTAATGACCAGGGATGAGACGAACCTTGAGTAGTGATGCTTCAAGGACGAGCGTGCCCTTGGCATGGTGTGGGATGAGTGAGTCAATTAACACGCATCACTTATGTCACATATGGAAGCCCTGACATAGGGTTAATTGCAAGAGATTGTGTGGATTGTAATGAGATTGTGGTTCCTCACACTAATGACCAGGGATGAGACGAACCTTGAGTAAGTGATGCTACAAGGACGAGTGCGCCCCTGGCATGGTGTGGGATGAGTGAGGCAATTAACTCGTATCACTTGTGTCAGATGTGGCGTGGCCTTGGCATAGTGTTAATTGTAAGATTTGTGTGGATTGTGATGGATTGATGTAATGGAGATGTGAAGATGATGAATGATTGTTAAATTATGATATATATAAATGCTTGTGAATATTTCATTTAGTAAGGAGTTATGATGGATTATGTTGTGTTTTTCCTTGTGTGCTTTCCATATAAATGTTTTCTTTTCTCACCGTATAATTTGTGGATGTTTTAGGTGAGGAAGATCCGGCTTTGAGTGGCATCTAGAATGCCAACCATTGAGTTATGAGTGTGCTCTGATATTGTGACATCCGGGTAGAGGATTCTAGGATAAATTTTTATATGTATTTAGAGTTATACCTTCTATTTTGAAAATAATTTGTAAACTCTCAAGTTTTACTTTCTAAATTTTATTTTTAATTATTTTGGTTATTTATGAAGGTTTTATGTGAACCCTTTTTACCATTGTTAAATATTTTATTCTTTAGTTAATTACAAAATTTATTTATATATGTGTTTGGGGTAGTAAGGGTGTCACACTTTGTCATCAAAGATAATTTTTGTATGTTAATAATTTTATACATGTTAAGACGGCTCTATAAATAATATTTTTTGTACACCTTTTATAATCAACCTTTTAATATAGAATTTTAATTAAATCAAACTTAAGGAAAGGCTAATGACTAAATAGTAGTGGTATATTAATAATTGATTTGTAATTAAGAGATTTAATTTGATTAATATGTTAATTATTGAAAAATTAACTCAATAAAATTATTAAATGTGATGCTTAATTTGTCAAATACAAATTAACTCAATTTGGTTTTTTTAATTACATAATTGAATATTGATTTACTCAATAACTCAATATTTATTTGATGACTTCAACATTTTATATATTTTGTTTTACTTTTCCATTTTTTTCTCACATGCAAAATGAATTTTCTTGATTGAACACCATTCTTCGGCAGTTCCTAAATCATCTAAAATCCTATAAAACTCAAATTAGTAAAAATATAGCTTCACAAAACTTTAGAAAAAAATATGGAGAACAAAAAAAGTAACATAGAAGTAT